ACAGAAATCAATATGGTTTTCTCAAAGAAAGATCAATCCAGGATTGTCTGGCATGGGCTTATGAATATTTGCATCAATGCAATCAGTCAAGAAGAGAAACTATCATTCTAAAGTTAGATTTTGAAAAGGCTTTTGACATGATTGAGCATCAGACTCTGAAAAATATTATGAAGGCCAAGGGTTTTGGTCCCAGATGGATGCATTGGATGGACATGATTTTTTCTTCTGGTACTTCTGCTGTTCTCCTTAATGGAGTTCCAGGAAAGAAATTTTGGTGTAAAAAAGGTGTAAGACAAGGGGACCCAGTCTCTCCTCTGATCTTTGTTCTGGCTGCTGATATTTTACAGTCTATACTCAATGAGGCCATGGAAAACAGATTGATTTCCTCTCCTCTAGGTAACTCGCAGGATTTCCCTGTCATCCAATATGCTGATGATACTCTTGTTATTCTGCAAGCTTGTCCAACTCAGTTGCAACAAATCCAAAATCTACTGCTGCACTTTTCAGCTTTCACTGGCCTAAGGATAAATTTTGCAAAGTCTGCTATGTATCCAATCAATGTGGGACAAGACAAGCTGACCCAGTTGGCTGCTATTCTGGGCTGCACTATTGGCTCTTTTTCTTTTCCTTACTTGGGACTACCTCTAGGCACCAAAAAGCCAAAAGTGGATGATTTCTTCCCCATGCCGCAGAGAATTGAAAGAAGGCTCACTGATTGCTCTACTTTGCTGTCTACTGGAGAAAAACTTTCTCTTATTAAAAGTGTTTTCTCTAGCCTGCCAACTTTCTTCATGTGCTCCCTTGAGCTGCCTGTCACAGTGGTGGATCAAGTAAACTCCTACATAAGGCATTGCTTTTGGAGGAAATATGGTCAGGAAGGTGTTGGTCCTGCCCTCATTGCTTGGAACACAGTTTGAAAACCAAAAGAGCAAGGTGGTTTGGGGGTCTTGGACATAGCTACTCACAACAAAGCTCTTCTTCTAAAAAAACCTCCACAAATTCATGAATAAGAGTGATCTTCCTTGGGCTCACTTGATTTGGGAAACTTACTATAGCAACAGAGCCCCAACCAGCAGACCTGTTGGCTCTTTCTGGTGGAAGTCCATCATTAAGTTATTTCCGATTTTCAAGGATTTGGCTCACTGCTCTATAGGACAAGGTTCCTCAGTTCTGTTTTGGCATGATAGTTGGGGCCCTGTTCCTCTTAAGCTGTAATTCCCTCATCTGTTTTCCTTCGCAAAGGATGAATTGCTATCCATCCAAGAGGCCTCTCACTCCAGCTCCTTCCAAGATATTTTTCATTTGCCTCTGTCCAATCTAGCCTTTGCACAGTTTCATCAAGCACAAGCATGTTTAGAGCAAGCTAATCTCCGAGGACATGTTGATCAATGGAAATACATTTGGAACTCGGCCACATTTTCCCCTTCAAAAGCCTATAATTTTCTCATCAAAGGGGAGGAGGCTCATCCTATTTTCAAGAAGATTTGGGCTACTGCTGTTATGTTAAGATATAAAATCTTCTTCTGGTTGCTGCTGCATGATCGAGTAAACACAAGAGATCTTCTACACAAAAAATCTTTCCACCTCCCATCTTATATGTGTGAGCTCTGTTCTGATCAAGTTGAAGAAACTGCCATGCACTTGTTTTGGGACTGCCCCTTTGCTCTTAGGTGCTGGGACATGTTTTTCCCACACAAACATAGAGACACAAGTGTTCTTTCTGAAATTCTTTTAGCTCTGAATCATCTCCCTAAGGAAGTTGGTCTGAACTTTATCATCATGGCTTGCTGGCAAATTTGGATGCAAAGGAATGGCAAGATATTCAGACATATTACTCCCAATGTCATGACATGGAAAGTGCTCCTCAAGAAAGATCTACTTCTTCTTAAACACAGGATCAAGTTGAAACATAAGCAATCCCTTTCAGAATGGATTGACGCGCATTTCTAAGCTCTATGTTTGTTCCCATGATGTTTCCCAAGATAGGCATTGGTTAGCTTAGCTGCTTTTCCTTTTTCCTTTTGCTGTAAATATTTATTATAATCAATATAATTTACCGTAGAACTATTGTTCTACGGTCTCTTCAAAAAAAATGGAAGATGTCTGGGCAAGGCAACCCGAAAAGTTGGGCTTCTTCTCGGTTAGGTCTCGGATCTGATTGTCCCGGCCACGAGAACTTGGGACAAACAGACGCTTGTTGAACACTTTGTCGGCCCAGACGTGGACGCTATCATGAATATACCATTGAGTACAAGGCTGCAAGAGGATTTTCATGTGTGGCACTATGACAACCGAGGTATCTTCTCGGTCAAATCAGCATATATGATGCTAACGGGTATAAAGTTTCAGCGGGAGAATTGGATACAGCACGGCGCGAGCACATCCAACCAGGCTGCGACCAAGCGGGATTGGACCCGCCTCTGGAAGGCAAGGGTGCCGTCGAAGGTTAGGGTTTTTTTTGGCGCCTCGCACATTCCTCACTTCCTACTGGGGCAACACGACACCGGCGCAACATAGCAGTAACAGAGGCATGCACCTTATGCAATGCGCAGGAAGATACATGGCGCCACTCCTTGTTTGACTGCCGAATGGCTCGTTGTGTGTGGGCACTTGGAGAAGAAGAGATACTGGAGCATGTTATTTCCAATAGAACCGAGGATCCTAGGCTTTGGCTATTCTGGCTTTTTGAAACGTTACATGAACATGAGCTTGCTAAAGTCTTGATCACCATGTGGGCTATTTGGTGGGCGCGGAGGAGAGCAATCCATGACAATGAATTTCAGAGCCCTCTGTCTACTTGGTGCTTCATCACGAGGTACCTTCAAGACCTTGAAATTGCAGTGAAGCAGAAGAACCCGATCGCTATGCCGAATGTCGGGGCCCGGCCACAGCATAAGGCATGGATTCCGCCGGAGGGAGATGAAGCAAAACTCAACGTGGATGGGGGTATTTCGAGATAGGGCCGTGTTGGGGCAGCCGCGGTGATCTGCAGAGATAAGAAGGGTCTTTTCCTGGGGGCTTCGGCACTGGTTTTCGATGGCCTGAATGATGCGGTTGCTTTGGAGGCACATGCATGCAATGAAGCCTTAGCGCCGGCCATGGATCTACAGCTAACCCGCTTGGTGATTGCTAGTGATTGCTTGGAGGTGGTGAACAGGATAGGAACATCAACGGCGACACATTATTCACCTGTGTTACATGAAATAATGGCGAGGAGAAGGGATTTCCACCATGTCAAGTTCAAGTTTGAACACAGAGAAAATAATTTTGAAGCCCATGCACTGGCGAAAGCAGCGTCTTCTCTTCCAGTAGGGCGCCATATTTGGCTAGGGACCGTACCAGACAGTATTTGTATTCCGATGTTGATTACTGCTTAATAAAGTCCCTAGTTTCCTGTCAAAAAAAAAGCTGTTGGTGCATCAACATCGATCGACTCAACAAGCTTCATGTTCTCAGGGAAACGAAAAATCTTACTGGAAAAAACTATGGCAAACTATGGCAGTTTCCTGTACCTCCTAAAGTCCGCAATTTTTGGTGGAGAGTGATCAACAAATTCGTTCCGACTAGTTCTATTATCAAAGATAGACATGTGGAAAGAATTGAAAATATTGAAGCTTGTGGAAGGGAGGAAACTATCTATCATGCCATCTTTTAGTGTACTTGGGCGAAATTGTTTTGGCAGGAAATCAAACAGGTAATGGAGGTCAAGATCCCTGTACTACATCCTCAGTCTTGGGCGGTTGACATCCTTACACCGCCGGGATCCGGGTAAGTGATATCCCTGTTATTTTGTGTGGTCAGAAAGGAATGCAAGGAAGCATGGCGAGAAGGATCGCTCGATCTTACAGTATGTTAAATGGACTCTAGATATATCAATGGACTTGTGTGCAATAGGCAGAGAGATGAAAGAGAAGGAGGCTGTCAGACAACGATGGAAACCACCTCAGGTTAGTTTCATGAAAATAAATGTTGATGCAATGTTCTCTGATGCTGAGAAGCAGGGAGGCACAGGACTTGGAGTTCGAGATCATCATGGAAAACTTATTATAGCGCAAGCCCGCTGATATGATGCAGCATCCAGTGTAATGGCACTGGAGTCTTTGGCGATCAGAGATGGGGTGCAGTTGGCTTGTGACCCTCGGCCTATGCAAAATTATTATTGAATCTGATGCTTTGCAGATAGTGAATATGTGGAAAACAAAGTCATATGATTGATCAGAGATTGCAGCGACACTGCATGAAGTTCTGGAGCTTACTGCTAACATGGAACACTTCCAAGTTCCAACTTCAGTTTACCAAGAGAGAAGCAAATGAGCCCGCACATCTTTGCAGATGTTTATGGATTAACTATGTTCCTGTGTTCCTTGTAGCGCATCAGGAAGGACAATGCTCGTGTTTAATTTATACAGGTTTTTACCTCGTAAAAAAAAAAGCTAGATATGTCCCAAAGTTCACCTAGATGGCAAGAGAAGCTAGATATATACTACATCCGTCCTGGTTTATCGGTTCCCTTTGTAATTTGTGCCAAATTTTGACCAAAATTTTAACTAACAAAGTGTTAATGCATATCAACAAAAGTTATATCGTTGGATTTGTATTGACATGTATGAACATTTTGTTAATTAAGTCTATGATCAAAATTTGGCACAAAATACAATGGGAACCAATAAACCAGGACAGAGGCAGTAGATTGCAATAGCTGCAAAGGACTACTTAATGGAATCCGAATCCGCAGTGCCACCAAAATGCCACATGTTCGTGTTACAGCTTACAAAATGCTCATAAAATGTTGCAGCACTTCTGCAACAAATATTGAAAACCTTTGCGCAGTAATAATGCCCCTAATACTTTCAAAGATACAAGAATCATATACCATCAAAAATAGGCTAATAAGCTTGGCTAAAGCATACGACAGGCTATTGCAAAAAGTTCACCATCCATTTGGTGATTTGCGGTGACCTACCTTTCTGTAAGCTTAAAATGAAGATACAGACATGGCTTTATCTCTCAACAGTTTTCCTCCATGACACTGCGTGCAGAATGAGCAGAGTTCCTACAGTAACAACTCCAACTGTCGCTTTGTCGCTGCAATTTGCATCAAAATTGCCTATCGCACAAGCACCAAACCAACCAAGCCTGATTCAGTTATCATCTCCTACTGTTTGCCAGCTCGGCCTTGTTGAGGTTTGCAAGCTCTTCGATCAGCTTTCTCTCATCGCTGCTTAGACGCTTTGGAATCTCAACCTGGACACGCACCAGCTGGTCTCCGCGAGCATTTGATTTACCAAGAAGTGGAACACCTTTCTTGGACATCACCAGAGTTGTACCCGGCTGGGTCCCCGAGGGGATCTTCAGGTCAACCACCCCATCAACAGTGGGGACCTTGACAGTTGTCCCAAGAATTGCATCAATATAAGAAACCTTGCATGTGTAGAGAATGTTTGTCCCATCTCTCTTAAGAACTGAATCCGAGAGAACATCAATAAAGACATAAAGGTCTCCTGGCGGGCCTCCTCTCCGACCAGCATTACCCTCAGAACGGACCCTCAACCTGCTTCCAGAATCCACTCCTGCGGGAACCTTCAGACTGATCCTCTTTGTCTTGCGCACACGGCCATCGCCCCCACAGGTTTTGCAAGGGGTGGAGAATTCACCAGTGCCACCGCAAGTATTGCATGTGGATACCTGCTGGAATATTCCAAGTGGTGTTCTTGTGGAGGAGACCACCTGGCCCTGACCACCACAAGTTTTACACGTGGTTGGCTTTGTGCCAGGCTTGGCGCCACTTCCGTCGCAAGTATTACAGCCTTCCAGCCTAGTTATCTCAATCTCTTTCTCTACACCAAACACTGCTTCCTTGAAGTTGAGAACCAGATTGTAGCTCTCGTCATCACCCTGCATTGGCCTGTTACGAGCAGCACGGCCCCCGCCCATTCCACCCATTCCACCAAATCCTTCGAATAGTGACTCAAAGAGATCAAATGGGTTTGAGTAATCCTGCAAGCCGAAATGTTTATATTATTCTAAGTTCAGAAGTTAAAAATACAAAAGGTACTCTTGATCAAACTTGTGAACTGGAGAACACTATTAAGTAAAACTTACTCCCGTGCCCATGCCAGAACCCTTCAGACCAGCTTCTCCATATTTATCATAGATCGCTCGCTTCTCATCATCAGACAAAACCTACAACAGCAATCATCTTTATGTTAGCTGGAAGAAATGTGCACTGATAGAATGAAGAACATAGAATGGATAGAACTGGGTAAGACCAACTGGCCTAACCTCATAAGCATTGCTGATATCCTTAAACTTTTGTTCAGCGCCAGGCTCTCTAAAACAAAAACAAGACACATAAGAACTAACTCTCATGCTCTTTGATCAAGCTAGATGCAAGGATGGCTAGTGCACAAACAAATAAGAATCAAGAGATATCTACAAAGATGAGAAGAGCACAAGATCAATCAGTAAGAGAGCTAAGAGAAAATAAGAAGCATACAAGAAGTGTTATAAGGAGCTGAAAAGCAACAAGGTAATGATTACCCAACTTACTTGTTCACGTCAGGGTGATAGCTCCGAGCAAGTTTCCGATAGGCTGGAACAGGACATATATTCTTAGAATCAACACAGAAAATAAACTACAGGTCTGTCTACAGTATTGCATACCAACCTCATATTTCCATTAAAACGAATACTAAACAAGTGAAAGAATCAGCTAATGAGTTGATGAAAGTGACATAACAACATCATAAACTCATGTCATTCATTTGAGTCCAAACAAAATGGCACAAAGATCATGGCATACTTTGCACCAAAGGCTAATGATTCAATTACATGCTATGGTGCAGGATATTAGTTTACCATTTACCAATTATACATATCTTAATGCAGTACTGATTTTATTTCGGCGGCTGCTACAAATCAGTCGGGTGATTTCAGGCAGACTTAAACCGCTCCTAGAACCGTCCAATTCAGACTCACCCAGCCACACGATCTGCAGCCCCAAGCCAGCACCACGCAGCAGCTCCCATGGCAGCAGGGCGCAGCACCGACGGCACCCGGCGGCGCTCCATTGCAGCGTCCATGCCGCTTCAGTGCAACCACGACAAACCTTCAATGCCCTCTGCGGTGCTTCATTGCAGCTCCGGCGACGATTCATTGCAGCTCCGGTTACGCTTCATTGCAACTCGGCGGAGCTTTCGACGACGCCACGGCGCTGCATTGCAGCTCCAGTGGCCCTGGCGAGCTCCATGGCAGCAACGGCCGCCGGCGGATGCTGCGACGACGTGCGACGGCGCCGGTGGATGTATCGATGCAACAACAACAGCACACGGCTGCGCTGACGGATGCTTCGATGCAAAGACAGCAACAACAGCACGTGGCGGCGCCGATGGGTGCTGCGACGCAGCGTGCGACGGCGACAGCGGATGCAGCGATGCAACAGCGACAGCGTCGACGGATGCTTCGATCAGCTCATAGCAACGACACCATGCGGCAGCACCGGCGGATGCCGTGACGCGTTGCTTGCCCGATGCTGCGAAACAGAGATGGTGTCATGTGTGGGTGTTGACGGTGTGATCCTCTCCTGCTTGCATCAATGGCGGCCGCGGCCATGGCAGGATTGCAGCAGCAGGGTTGCCGATGCGGCAGAGTAGCATCATGCGGCGGCGGCGACGGTCCCTCCCAGTTCCCAGCTGTGGTGGTTGGTGGTGCTCGCCATGGATTTGACGGCCTCTGCTCTGCCAGTGACGAACTAGGAAGAAAGGGGAAAAGAGAGAAAGCAAGCGGAGAAGAAGGATTGCCAGGAGATAAGGTTGGATGGAGCGGTGGGTGGCCTGACAGGGGACACGTGTCGCACACAGGAGTCGGTTTAAGTGAGGAAGAAATCATCCTGATGAAACGAAACGTTTTCCTTTTATTTCACATGTACATTGTATGACTAAAAGAGAATTAAAATTGGAGGCTGGAAATCGACTATGAAAAGGTTGCATATCTGATCATCACAAGAATTTGGTGGGTGCTAGGAATAATCCGGCTGATCCCGTGCGGGGATCAGCCGCCTTGTGCGCCATCCGATGCAATGCTTCACAGCCGCTGGATTGTTCTCTCAGGCAACACACGCCTCACTGGACTCCTAAAATATGCTATGCAGTACCGCATTCCTCCCCGGTCGCCACAACTACTGCTGGTAGCCGTCGCACAAACAGCCCTAGCAGGCAGTACAGCGCTGCCCCTGTTCCTCGGAGCATCAGTTGTCACTTCATAGCAGCTTTGCCATAGCAGCAGCGGTAATGCTCCATGGAAGCACCGATAGCCAAGCGACGCTCCATTGTAGCGCCGGGTATGCTCTGTGGCAGCACTAGAGGCCCCTCGCCGACACTCCATTGCAGCTCCATGGCAGCACCAGGTGGTCCCCGCGATGCTCCTGTCGCAGCAACGACGCCACTCCATTGCAGCTCAATAGCAAGCAGCACTGGACCCGGTGATGCTCCGTCACGGCACCGATGACCACCGACGATGCTCCATTGCAGCTCCATCGCAGCACCGCCCTAGCCCCCGGCGATGCTCCGTCGCAAAACTAACGCCCCCAAGACGATGCTCCATTGCAGCTCTGTCGCAGCACCGCCCGGCCTCGGCAATGGTCCATCAGCTACTCCTTGTAGCAAAGGGTGGTGTTGCATAAACTGACGAGCTCCCCTGGCTAGAGCACCGGCTGCTCCCTTGAGGCACAGATGGAGCGCCGTCAGCCCCCGTTGCGGCACGTTGCGCGACGGGCAGTCTGTTGTCAGCACTGGCACACCCATCTGCAGCATCGGCGCCCGTGGCCCTGCAGCGCCGGCAGTTGCGTTTTGCACCAGTGCGTGTCGGCTCTTGCAGTGGGCTGGCCTTGCACATCCCCTCGCCGGCTTGCAGCAGTTCCAGCGGCATGGTGGCGGTCTGCTCGGAGCAGGTGGGTGGCACTTGCAGCAGCGACGGTGCTGCAGTCCGTGCTGCGGCGGCGGTACACCAGTTGCGGTTGTCGGCAGCAAGCTCACAAACAGTGGAGAACAAGAGAGCCAAGAGGGAGGAGAGAGACGCAAGAAGTATACAAGAAGATAGGTATGGATGGCTCGCGACATCTCTTTGACGTGCTGGGCCACATCCACATGGGCATGTGGCAGGTGATGGACGCGGTTGACGAGTGCATAGAAATCAACCGGTTGATTCTAATCATTTTCCCAAGAATTTATATGACAAACAACAGGATGACTAAGAAGGTTTAAACTGGATGGAAACAAAACCTGGTAACAAACTACATAATACGTAAAAAAAAACTACTCCCTCAGTCTCATAATATAAGATGTTATTACATCTAATATGTGAGTATATTGGATGTAATAACATCTTATATTATGGGACAGAGGGAGTAAATAGCATCAAGTCAATAAATTCAGAGCATGAGCTGCTAAATAAAGGGCACTCACCACTCTTGATTTCAGATTTACTAGCATTTCTCGACACACCAAGTACGGAATAGAAATCCTGTCAATTGCAAGTTTATCAAAATCCATCAGGACATCAAGTACTTACAGACAATAACACCAGCGATGCAGAATGAAAAGAAATAGCTCACTGATTCAGCTCGAACGATAAACCGTGAACCCCTCCGATGGCGAAATCTTGGTGATGGTGCATGATTTAAGCTAGCACTAGGTGATGCTAGGTGTTTACCTCTGCCTCTGGTACTGCACGAACACACAAATAGTAAAATTAATTTAGTTTGCCGAGCCAACCATGTGTATCCTATCGTACGTGTCGGTTAAACGTTACTAGCACATCTTTAATTGTTCAGCTGACAAACCGAAATTGCAACTACCTGGCTACTGCTAATCTTTGATAAAAAAATGAGTTGATGACAGGAAGTGATAACAATTGGGAGGTTAGAACACAAACTGCAAGTACGACAATGGTACAGATTGACCACATGTTTCATCATGGAAGTCCCTAGCACTACAAGCTATGGAACTATAATCGCGCACGAACGTACCTATTTTTCGATGCCATGAATCTCGGATCGATGGCCACGGAACCCCGACCCCCATAGATCGATCTGGATCGAGGTTCGAATTCGCTCCCCTGATTCGCTACAGGCAGCGAACCCACGAAACCGGAGCAGCATACCACAAGCGTCGTCGGCCTCGTCCCGGCCACTCGCCGGAGACGAAGGGAGGGCGGCGCGGGGGAGACGTGTGGGTGGACGGCCGGGCGGGAAGGGGTGGCAGGGAGGCGGTGCACTGGGTGGAGCATGGGGGCGGCGGGGGGTGGCGACGCCGGCGAGGTAGGGCAGGGAGGAGAGGCGAGCTGTGAGCTTGGTGGGGGGCAGCGAGCGAGGGAGATTGTAGCTGGGTGGGCTGGCCCAAACCTTATCTCTGTCTCGCTGTTTTCTTACGGACACGCGCGTTGCCGTGCATCAACCTCCCATCCGACGGTTCTCTTCTGCCCTGCCTGCTGTGCTTCCGTCCAGCTCGCGCTCTGTCTCGATCTCTCTCGCGCGCTCTCCCCCTCTCCTCTCGTGTGCGCGTGCAGCGACTAGCGAACCATGGACAAATACACATTGACAATGTAAGAGCAACTCCGACGCAGGTGCCCATTTCATCCACGCCGTTCATTTGGGTCGACACAAACAAAAGTGAAGACCCAATGCGCCGCCTTATTTACAAAATGTGTCTGCTTCGTGTCCGCGTCGACCCATTTACGACCCAAATTTGCGGTAAAAATGCGTCGGCGCGGACGCGAAGCGGACGCTTCGCGCGGTTTCTCGATGTCCGTCGCGTCCTCATCTGGCGACCGTCCAACTACCGCGGTCAGCTTAATTTATGACGACCGCCCACCTCGGGCCCACACGCGTCAACGACGGTGATCGGCCTTTTTTAATCCGAGCGTGCGGGGGGAGTGCGTCCTTATCTGCTTCCAAAAGCTCCTCGTCCCCATCTCGCCACCCTCTGCTCCCCCGTCGGCGGCAACCCTAGCCATCGCAAGGATGGGCTTTCTTCTCCGACAAAGGCAAGGGCAAGGCCCCCGACACCCCTCTCCCCCCGCCTCCGTCGACGTCCTCCCGCCGGCCGAGGCAGCGCGTGAACGTCCCAGTGCACCAGGCGAAGTGGCACTAGGAGAACCATGTCCTTCTCCCCTACCCCGATGTCACCCTACCACACAACTGACACTTGGATCCGGAGAAGATCCTAGTGCCGGCGGCGCCACGGTCGGCGAGGGCGCACGCGAAGGAGGTGCGACGCCGGCGGGCGCTAATGACGCCGGAGCAGCGCCGCGACGGCGCCTACGACGTCGACTCGCCCTATTGGGGCGTTGGTTCGCCTTCGAGCACGAGAAGGCCAGGCGGCGCGACGTCTGCGACGTCTCGCATGGCTCTCACCGCCGCCCCTCGTCGTTCGTGGCAAGGACCAGGCAGCCCTGGTGGCTGTCCTCCAGGGGAGCGAGGAGGAGGAGCGACACAGGGAGGAGGATGAGGCGGCGTACGAGGCGCGCATGACGAAGGCCATGGCGCTGTCTGCAGCCGGCGACTGTGTAGTGCCGCCGCTGGCCCCGTCGTTTCCAGCCAAGGCCGAGCTGGAGCCGACCCCCATCGAGCAATACTCCTGGACCGGAGTGGTGCACGAGTGGGTCAGCGCGCCGGCGATCTGGATGGGGGCGACGGAGGCGCAGGAGCGCACCTATCTCGAGCAATGGCGCCAGCGAAGGCTGGCTGAGGAGTGTCGCGAGGGCGAGTACCTTGAGCAGGTGGAGCGCGATGCCGAGGAGGAGCGCCGCGAGGCCGAGGAGGAGGTGTGTCGTGCCCAGCCGGCGGCGGCACAGCCCGCGGTGGATGACATCGCCACCGCCTGGAACACGGCGTTCCCCTGGGTCGGCCCTGCGCCGACGCTGATCGACCTCATCGGCCTTAACGATGACGATGAGTACTTCTAGGGCCACGCGTCGCCTCATAGTTTAGTTTTATTAATATTTAATTAATGTAAATGTGGACGCGTGGACTTTCGCCGGCCTCTGTGGTTGACATTAATGCTTAATTAATGTTTTTTATTTTTAAAATATTTGTGTTCTATTTTTTTCCACGCGTCGTAAAAATGGGCCAGGCCAGTGTTGGGCATATGCGCCGACCTAAACGCAAAATCAGACGTGAGTGTTTGCCGGGCCGACCCAACCGAACAAAAAGGAACAAAATCGTCCTCCCTTTGGGTCAGCGTGTTAGAGTTACTCTAATCATACAAAATGCTATGATCATAGCAATGCAGAATCTGAGCAAAATCTGGATGTGCAAGATCGGATGCGGTGATGCAAAATCTATCCTATCAATCCATCTAAATAACCATAACTGCTGATGAGAATTATGTAATAATTTATTTATGTTATTCAAAAAAATACTTTATATTTTTTTATTTTATGCCTTTTGCAGAATTATCAGACATTTATACAAACCACGTGTGAAGATAAAGGAAAAAATGATTAGGTGGTGTTCAAGAAGTTTTCCACATCACTTTTTGCCCATGAGAAGTTAGAGACCAAGTTTCCATATTGTGGACTTAGATTCTAACTGTACAGACATACTTGATTTAAAACGCATATAACTTTTGCATCGGACTTCAAATTTGGTGAATGTTTTTTTAGTGTTTACAATCAAGTGGATGATTGCTCTCTCATAAACTGGCTCTTTTGATCAACATGTGTCCCTGGGGCCACCCACCGCATCCCCAGCCTTACCCTCTTGAGCGTCTCTGATGCGGAGCATCCCATGATCACCCTCATGGACCTACCATCGTCTCCCAATCACCAAGTAGACCGATGACAAAAGCACGTGCAAGAGCTATCGCGACCGAGGTGACATCTTTCCTTAGTGACCTCCATATGAACCATGTGAGACATGGTTACTACTGTAACGCTCTCGATGCGGCTATATCTCCTAGGTGTCGAAGCACGACTTAGAGGCATAACCGCATTAAAAGCTATGTCGCAAGTAAGGTAATCTTCACAACAACCCATGTAAATAAATAAAAGGGGAAAAGATACATAGTTGGCTTACACTCGCCATGTCACACAAATACATGAATAACATTACAATCATTCAATACACTCATGGTCCGACTATGGTACCAAAATAAAGATCAACCCCCACATGCGACACGGTTGCCGATCGCCCCAACTGGGCACCACTACTGATCATCTGGGAAAGACACATAGTAACGGCGAGAGTCTTCATCGAACTCCCACTTGAGCTCAAACGCATCGTCTGGAGCGGTATCATCGGTCCCTGCATCTGGTTTGGAAGTAATATGTGAGTCACCGGGACTCAGCAATCTCGCACCCTCGCGATCAAGACTATTTAAGCTTATAGGTAAGACAAGGTATGATGTGGAGCTGCAGCAAGCGACTAGCATATATGGTGGCTAACATACGCAAATGAGAGCGAGAAGAGAAGGCGAAAGCACGAACGAACAACTATGATCAAGAAGTGATTCTAGAACAACCTACGTCAAGCATTACTCCAACACTGTGTTCACTTCCCGGACTCCGCCGAGAAGAGACCATCACGGTTACACACGCGGTTGATTCATTTTAGTTAAGTTAAGTTTCATGTTATCTACAACCGGACATTAACAAATTCCCATCTGCCCATAACCGCGGGCACGGCTTTCGAAAGTTCAAATCCCTGCAGGGGAGTCCCAACTTAGCCCATCACAAGCTCTCACGGCCAACGAAGGATATTTCTTCTCCCAAGACAATCCGATCAGACTCGGCATCCCGGGTACAAGACATCCTCGACAATGGTAAAACAAGTCCAGCAACACCGCCCGAATGTGCCGACAAATCTCGATAGGAGCTGCACATATCTCGTTCACAGGGCACACTCAGATGAGCGCTCCATACAACTAAAA